ACCCAAAATGAACATAAATATACTTTTTAAAATAATTAACTATTCATTGCCTAATAAATTATTCCTTAAATAATCAAATAATTTTTTAATAATAAAATAACCTTTAAGTAATGAAAACAGACATATTTATTCCTAAAAAATTTGGCGTTGTATTTATGACTAAATTGTACAGAAAAAAAACATGGGAATATTTGAACTAATATGAATCAAAATTATAAAGAATATATATATATATATATATATATATATATATATATATATATATATATATATATATATATATATAAACACAAATAATTGCATTTGCCAACGTACAATGTTAAAACCCACCAACATACACACGTACAAACGCAATAACAAACTAACATACGAGCAAACAAACACACACATACACACACAAATACATACACAAAGTCAAACAACCAAAACAAATATGGCCAGAAGGAAGAAAAACCTTTACAATCTAATTAATATGCAAATAAACAATCTCTAGATTCTTTTAAATAATAAATAAGGGGAGAGAGAAGGAGAAAAAGAAAAAGAGAAGAGAGAGGGAAAGAGGTAGTAAGGTAAATGGAATAAAAAAAAGAAATGAAAAGAAATGGAGAGAGTAAAATAGATGAAAAAATAGCATAAGAGAAAGAGAGAGAAAGAGAGAGAGAGAAAAAAAGAGAGAGTGAGAAAGAGAGAGAGAAACAAAAAAAGAGAGAGAAACAAAGAGTAACTGAGAGAGAAAGAGAGAGAAACAAAGAGAGAAAGAGAAACAAAAAACAAGAGAAAGAGAGAGGAGAGAGAGAGAGAGAGAGAGAGAGAAAGAAACAAAACAAAACATCACACCCAAATATAGTTAATAAATAATAAATGTAATAATAATCTCACAATAAATCTTCCACAATATGCTCTTCTTCAGTAATCTCATCAACTTTACGCAACATGTACAGTACAAGTGCATTGAACAATACATCCATGATGACTGTGATGATGATGATGATGTCAGTAGATGATGATGATGATGATGATGACTGTGATGATGATGATGATGTCAGTAGATGATGATGATGATGATGTCCATAGATGATGATGATGATGACTGTGATGATGATGATGATGTCAGTAGATGATGATGATGATGTCCATAGATGATGATGATGATGATGATGATGACTGTGATGATGATGTCCATAGATGATGATGATGATGACTGTGATGATGATGTCAGTAGATGATGATGATGATGTCCATAGATGATGATGATGATGATGATGATGACTGTGATGATGATGATGATGTCAGTAGATGATGATGATGATGTCCATAGATGATGATGATGATGACTGTGATGATGATGTCAGTAGATGATGATGATGATGATGTCCATAGATGATGATGATGACTGTGATGATGATGTCCATAGATGACGATGATGATGACTGTGATGATGGTGATGATGTCAGTAGATGATGATGATGATGATGATGACTGTGATGATGATGATGATGTCCATAGATGATGATGATAATGTCGATAGGTGATATAGCATGGTTGAAAGAGTTAACAAAACGTTACGTAGAAACGCAATGCATGACATTAATATAATAATATAATAATAATAAAAATAAATAAATATAATATAATATAAAAATATAACATAATATTTAATATATAAACAATATAACATTAATATAATAATTGATAACAAAAATGAATAAATAGATAGATAGACAAACATATTTTTTGTTGTTATGTTATGATGATATACTACTTAATATGATACCCAAGATATATTGATACATTGATATAAGATACATACACACGTAATGTTACATATGAAGATATGATATATATATATATGTTCTGATACTGTTTAATACACACGTATCATACCGTGTAATGATATATGATATAAAATAACAAAGTAATGTTAGTTCATCATTGTTATATCATTATGTTACACACACGCACGCACGCACGCACATACACACACACGCACATACACACACAAGCATACACTTACATACATCTTTTTGCATGCATGTGTGCCGTTAAAATTTGCTCTAAATAAAGTATTTCATATTAGCATTGTGCAGAGTTAATTCTGTTATTTTTGTTTCTTCAAGTTAGCAAACAGTTTAAGCTGAAAGAATGAATGAATGAATGAGTGAATAAATAATTGTATAAACAAACGAACAAATAAATGAATGAATGAATGAATGAATGAACAACCTACCCACCCAGTGAATGAGTGAACGAATGAACGAACGAACGAACGAATGAAAGAACAACACCCAGTGAATGAATGAATGAATGAACGAATGAAAAGCCCACCCACTCAGCGAATGAATGAATGAGTGAATAAATAAATAGAACAAATGGTTGAATAATTTCGATAACAAGATAATAACTGAATAATTGCATAACAGTGCAGAGATAGATGAATGAATGGTTCAGATAGATATTTATATGTTCATATATATATACATATATATATATATATGTATATATATATATATATATATATATATATATATATATATAAAGAATATATATATAAATATATTAGAAATATTCATTCATTCAGTTTATATATATATATATACACTTAAGATTTTCATTATCAATGTTAATTTCTGTGTTTTTCATGTCCTTACATAAGTTACAATTACTTTGTTATGTTACTAAAGAATATATATGTATATATTAATATATACAGATATATAAACTTGAATACACACACATAGACACACACACACACGCACACACACACACAAACATACACACACATATACATATATATATATATATATATGTATACAATGGATTCAAGGATATTAATAACAATGTCAAAAGCATTAAATATGAAAAAAAAAACTTTTTAAAATCACGAATATGTACACTTCATTGCAGGGGTGGGCAAGCTACGACCAGCGACGCCATTCTATGCGGCCGGCCATGCCTTGTACGCATTTCGTTAAAAAAGAATGAAAAATGAAATAAAGGTCATCATCAGCCAGATATTATAACGGAAAAACACACGAACTTAAACTTAAACAAATTCCCCCCCCCAACCTGTCAACAGTCGAAAATTGTACATAGGCGGCCCTCCAATGGTAAAATAGTTCTCAATGCGGCCTTCACAGCAAAAAGTTTGCCCACTCCTGCTTTATCCTCACTCCTATCACCCCTTTTAAGTACTTAACACACGAGTCCCACCACAACTGCACGCATTGTAAATGAACCGATCAAATTTTTAGCAATTCTTTCCCACCATACCCTAGGTGTTGTGTTGTGTGGTGATATCTTGGCCAAAGAAATTACAATGTGAATCAAAAAATTGTTACATAAATGATGTCCTATATAACGAGTGGCGTAACAGAGATTGTGTAACAAGCAACCTTATGTAGTATCACACAGATATGTATGTGAATTTTTTTTCAATTGTCATATAAATAAAAATGAAAATTAATGAAACAATTATATAACTAAGCTGAACTATACACATCTCCACTGATTACAAAGATAAAAAAAAATTAAATAGCTGTAAATGTTCTACGCATGACGTTTCATTATCTATGTAGATGGAGTAGATGGCTGATTATACAATCAAAATATGTCAATCAAATTTATTTTTAAACAGTTAACGGAGAAAAGATGAAAATGAAAACGACCTTGAAATATAGTTATCAAGTCATAAATTAACAAAACTACATTTTCAACCACTCAATCAACAAATAACCACACAGCTGACTAACTGAACAATCACACGTGACCAATCACACAACTGACCAATTGCATAACTGGCCAATCACAACCTACAAATAAAAACTAACCAATCACAACCAACCAATCACACATAATCGGCCAATCACCTCTTCTTCTTCCCAGCCTTCCTCCTCTTAACGATCATTTGATACAATTGTTCCAACGCGAACTCCAGCCCCTCCCCCGTGACTGCACAGGCAGGGATGGCACATATCGACCGATTGCCCTGAGTACTCAACTCTTGCAATCCTAAAATTTTCTCGACGATCGTTACATTGAGAGCCCCGGGAAGATCTTGTTTGTTGGCGATGACAACAATAGGCACACCCTGAGTTTCAGGGGTGCGAGTTGTACGTAGGAGTTCAACCTTTGCCTCTTCAATTCGTTCCGTGTCTGCACTGTCGACTACGAAGACGATTCCGTCTGTTGATCGGGTGTATGAGCGCCACAGTGGACGAACCTGCACAAATGTGATGATGAAAGTGATTAATTACTTTTAATTTAATAAATTAACTATTAAATTAACAAACATAAAATATTAAATTGAGCATGTTAGTTAGTGAATGTTACCGAGTCTAAATGTAATAAATATAAATAAGATTTAAAAAAATTAAACTAAAAAAATAAATTAAGCAAAAAATAAATAGAACTCGCCAAGTATAATGCGCATTACATCATGATTACTACACGCACCTTGTCTTGTCCTCCAACATCCCAAACGATGAAGCTGACTCCCTTGGCTTTCCCCAGAGTGCCCTTTATCTTCTCGCAGTTGAAACCGACGGTGGGGACGGTGCTGACGTACTGATCAAACTTCAACCTGTAAAGAACAGTCGTCTTACCTGCCGAATCCAAACCCACCATCACCAGGTGGGTAGGGCCATCCAACTTCGCCAAACTACTCCCCATGTATTTTGTGATGTCGGAATTGTAAATTAATAAAATATATGAATTACAAAATATTGTTCAATTTAAAATTATGATTTAGAGAAAATTTTGAAGGGTGCCATTTTAAAATGCCTCGCCAAATCAAACTCTTGTTCGGAGCATCAAAAGTGCAAACTTGCAGAAGCAGTTGGTTTATTTTTTAAAAACAAGCAAAGAGAGAGGCACTTTAAATTATGGAAAGTGGAAACGTTTAAAATATTTAAAACTTCTATTATTATATTCTATGCCCACGTAATTCCACCAAAAAAATTATTTTTTGTGTGTTGTATATTACATATATATATATATATATATATATATATATATATATATATATATATATATATATATTAGCATCAACAATATTATCATTGCAATCACTGTTTTTTTATTATCATTATTTAGTGGTTGTTTTATTCTATATATATA